ACGCAGCACCACACTCCAGCGCCAAACTGCTGTGCCCTGTCTGGCACCAGCTTGCTGTGCCCTCCCAGGGCACTAGGAACCTCCCACACTACTGGGGAGCTCCTTTGAGGCCTCCTCCAACCCCTACAGCCTCACCCGGTCCTCCGGTGTTACATAAACAACCAAAAGAAAATACAAGCCATGAGCCAACCGGCTGTAACATAAAATAAGCCTCGTGGCTATAACATGAATTCTGCACCACCCTGGCTCCCCTTCATACCTCCCTGTCAGGGTTCCCTCCACCCTGCACCATCATGTAGACGGTCAGGCTGCTCTGCTCTGCAGCAGAGCTCCCACTACTCAGGCTGTCAGAGGGGAACTGCCTTCTGGCCTCAGCCTGGCTGCTTATAAAGGCCAGGCCCTGCCCCCTTCTGGTCATCTGACCAGGCTGGTTGCCCCAGCAACCCACACCTGTGCTGCCCTGAAGATTGGCTGCTGCCCTTATTACTATTACCAGTAGCGAGCACCCTAGTGCTCTGCTACCCACCCCTCAAAAAACAAAAAGTACTGCTGCAAAGGGTGAAAATGACAGCCATGAAAACACTGTGTGCAGTGTGGCATGTTAGTAGCATTTTTTTGCTGAATTCTTGCTTTCTATAAATGTTAGACTCAGACTTCTCATTAGTGCATTAGCACTGTGTCCTGCAGTCCCTTTGGAATGGAACTGTAGTTCTGCACATGACAGAAGGGCTCGGGGGAATTGTGCTGGTAAACTGGTCAGAGGTGAATAACCACCAAGAGAAACAAAAGCAAGCAAGGCAAGCTACAACCAAAAACCCAGCAGGAGAAACAAAGGCACCTTGTCCATCCTCACCTTGTCCATCCTAGGCAAGTAACCTGGAAGGCTTTGTACTTAAAGTGGTAGTAGACAGGAGGGGAGATAGGCAGTAGATTGATTCATAGCAAGTAAAGCTACTGATATGTCAAAATCTACTATGGTTTCAATCTCCCAGATTACTTTATAGTCTTAAAGTGACAGTGGATGAAAGGAATGGGAAGAAGAGGGAGTGTTTTCAAGGGCAAGAAAGGGGCTTCTTCCACACAGCGTTCTGCACATGACAAGGGGCCTGAGCATAGTAGTATCTATTACTTGACCCTTAAACATCCTCTTTCTTCTTTTTTTCCCCAGGTGCAAGTGGGAAGTACACCTCAGGACCAAAGAATTGTAGGATACATTTCCTGCACTCACTTGCAAGCTCTGGCAGGTACTGTTTGGATTTGCTTTTCATGGTTCTGCTCTCATTGTTTTTTTCGTTCTACTCAAGAGTTTTAATACAGGAATGGTGTATTAGCAAAACTCCTCTCCTCCTCCTGCATTGGAAATGGAAGGCCATGTGCATTGCAAAGTGATGGAAAGGGAAAACAAAATGCTTGCAAGGGCTAAACTTCTTAGATTCTTCTATCACTTCTTCAAGGTAACATATGAGAATGTGGCACACCAGTGCAAGTATGGTGAGAGCTCAGGACCTGGCCCAATGCAATCCTAAGCACCTTATGTTGTCTCTTGGGCTCAGACATGATCATTGGTACTGAGATAACTCCTAACATTTCTCCTCTGAAGCATATATTTGATGGTGCTTGGGGAGCCAAAGTTGTCATGTGTTTGTATATTGTGCTGTAATTCTCACTGCCACAGAGAGAAGAAAAAATCACTTGTTGGGAACAGTATCATATTTAGATAGGAATTTTCTGTCAGTGTTTGAGATGGAAAAATGCAATTTCTGCAAAACATATTTTTCCTGTGGGAACATCTAAATAAAACGTTTAGGTTAGAAGTGGGGTGACCCAAAGAGAAATATTTTGTTTAAATATTTTGTTAAACTCCAGCTGAAACTCCAGTTAGTTAATTTTCAGTTTAGCATTAAAGCAACAACAAGATACCATAGGGCTTTATGCCCCATACAGGCCTAGTTTAACCATTATGCAGTCCCTGCACTGAAGAGCTACAGTGAATCATGGGAAACATCATCTAGCCTGGCAAGTAGGCCTTGAAAAATGAAGTGGGGCATAAAGTATATGAATTGCATCTTCCTTGAAGTGCTTTAGTAGCTCACAATTATTTTCTTTCATTTGCAAAATAATCAAATTAGAAGAAAACCCTAACCTTCCTTCCTCCATTTATCTCCTATAGAATAAGCAACATTATTTTAGCAAATACATTCTTAGTCAACTGGCATGATTATCAACATTCTAAAAGTATTTACGTACAGTAACATACTTTTTTTTCAAAGTGCCAGGAGCTGGGGGGCGGGACAGACATTGCCAGGGCTGGGAGAGCAGGCAAGTGTCAATAGGCTCTATCTATCCAAACTGCAACCTGCAATTATTAAACTATAATATACAATTAAATATTCATCTTTTAATGAAAGAAATATACATAAACCAACAATGGGCAGGTTGCTTAAAGGTCAGTTATTTAAAATATTCTAAAATCCCTTTCTGGCCCTTCTTTTCTTTTCTGCTTACCCCCAGACATGTCTGCTCCTATATTTAATTACCTTATTTCCCCTTTTTATCTAGCAACTTTGCTCCCTGCTGGTCAGCAAAGCCCTCCCCAGTCCACAGTTTATAGTAAGTGCAGAGTAATCCAGAAGAATTTTGTCATTCGTGACTTTGGGACCAAGATTTAGCCAGTATATTTAAAAACTGAATGGAAAGGAGCAGATGTAATTCTTTTACCATAAACATAGAAACATTTTTTTTTTGGAGGAAAGAAGTAGGGCTGTGTGAAGCTTCAGGTGCTGATTTGTTTCAGAGGAGATTTGGCCGGATTCGGTGGCCGAATCTCCAGATCGAATCAGGGGAACAATAAAAAGGTCTAAATCAATTCGAAGCTCTCCGAATCAATTCAGAAAAGATTTGGAGAGCTTCAGTGATTCGGGCAGCCCCTGCCCGCTGCAGCAAGGAGCTGGAGCCAGACTCTGAGCTGGTAAGTAGGGGGCGAGGGAGGGGAGCATGGAGGAGGGGACCATGGGTGGACCCCTGCCAGGCCCCATTCCCTGCCTGCTCCCCCAGCCCCCCATGGCTGCCCTGCCCAGCTCCAGCTCCCGGTGCTTTAAAAAAAGCCCCCCAGTTACTGGGTGCTGCTGGGCAGGGGGGAGATCCCTGCTGCCCCCCACTGCCCCACGCTGCATGGGGGGCTCTGCATGAGCACCCTGACCCCATCCTGCACTGCCTCAGCTCCCTTCCTCCCACAGCTGCCCCGTCCACCCCAGTTCCAGCCCTTTAAGAGGAAAAACCCCACCAAAAACACCCCCTGGACTCACCAGCTGCTGCAGCAGCCTCAGGGCTTTGAGGGGCTCATGGCAGAGCCCCCCACATGGTGTGGGGCAGCAGGGATCATCCCTCACCAGGCAGGAACCAGTGAGTCTGGCGGGGGGAGGGGAGGGGGGTTGATTTGTTTTTTCTTTCTTAAAGGGCCAGAGCTGGGGTGGGTGGGGCAGGCTCATGCAGAGCCCCCCAGGCAGCGTGGGACAGTGGAGGGCAGCAGGGATTGACCCCCCCCAG